CACTCCAGTCTGGGCGACAGAGTGAGACTCCAACTCAAAAAATAAAAAAAATAAAAAATTTGTCCCAAGTGGACAACACATTTCCTCATGAGCATTTATGTTTGTGGCTCTGTTTCCTTCAGAGGTGTAGGAAAAAAGGCCTACCATTAAACAATTTTAAAGGTTTAACAAATTCCATTTCAGGGACTTGGATCCTGAGTGATGCAACACCAAATACCTATGTTTAGTTTACTCCTGTCTCCAGAGGATTTCTAGTGATTATTATGCTAAACCACAAATTGAAAGATTGTACTGCCCTAGTTCTACATCTGATGGAGTTTTCCCTGGATTTGCCAAGGGGTGGGATAGGTTGCCACTCAGCCTGCATTAGAAACGTTTGAACGCCTTCTAAAACCTACCTATAGGAAATTTGTTTATGTCTAGCCTGTGCTAGCTATCCTGCCTTAATTATTTATTCTTTAGAGATTTTTTGATCCCATAATCATTTGGGGTGGTGAGGGGTGAAGGCCCGTCTTCTGTAATTTCTTCAGAGCTGACAATGGGCATAGTCCTGCCTAGCCAGAGATTGAAAATCTCTCCCTGTCTGACTTGAGGTGCCCAGATTTGTTTCAGCCGTGGCATTTTTTGCTGGCACTGACTGGAATTCTTGCATGACCGTTATGTGGGCATGAAATTACTGGATTCTGGCTCAATAAAATGAATAAAGTCAGGCATACATTTTGACAACTTTAGGTGGCTGATTACTTTTTGTACAAAAGCTACAAGGCCTGAAGTTATTAGCATAACTTAAATGATAAGCTTTAATTTCTGTGGCTTCATTACAAATGCCAGCCTTTGGAGTTTTTAGTGTATTTCTGGACTATAATGGTAGCCTGACAGGTTGTTTTAGACTATAATTTGAACTAGGCACTCAAGTAAATTTTATATAAAATTTGAAGAGAAATTCAGAAATGTTTGGAGACTTGCATCCAGAAAAGACTTTATTATGCCTAGATTGTTTATAGAATTTCTTCTGTATATACATTTTTCATTAAACTTTCCTCATACCATTTTTGGTGTGCTTATACCATTTTATTTTTGTTCTTTTAAAAAAATTCTTAGATAACTATCTACTTTATTATAGGACAGAAATTTACCATATCAGATTTCTTTTTTTTAGATAAAAATATCTTTTTTCTTATATTTCTCCTTTTTTTCTCACTAAAACCTTATTTGTACACCAACAAACTTTTTATATTTTTCCTTTGCTTTTTGCTTTCCTTTTTATTTATAGATAACCTTTTACAGTTATAATTTAAATTTACCTTTTAGTAACTGTTAGGTGAAACATTTAGCTTTCGGAACACCTTTAATTCCCACTAGAGAGCAGGTTTTAGGAGAAAGAAGTTCAGTATGAGCACAGGGGCTAAAAACTTAGCCTCGATATTAAGAAATTAATTTGGACCCAGCCACATTCATATAGACCCAAGGATTCTCTGGGATGATGGCAAACGAGCGCTGGGCTGGGCCGTGCCCCTCCCGCTTCAGTCAATAGCCACCATCACCAAGTTAGGTGTTCCCCTCCCCACTTTGAGAGAGGCCGCACCATCTCTTTTAGTGACTTTTTAATCTGGTTATTGGACAAGGTCCTGGGGGCTTAGGCCATCAAGAACAATTGTGCTTCAAGTGCCCAGATGGACCACATTCGTAGCAGCTGACACCATCCCCCTTAGCAGGTTTATCCTTATCAGGCCTCTTTTGGGTGGCTAGAGTTTTGCCTTTAGTGGCAACTGCCAATAGGTCTGTTTGCCTTTCCTCTGGCTGGTGCTCATTTTGGAGTTCTTCTCCTCTTTTTTTTCTTAATGTTTCAGCTTCTAAGAACTTCAGAGGCTTTCTATAATTATAATTTCATAGTCCTGAGTCAAGCCTCTGGAGTCTGGTACTTAATATTTTATAAGATATAATCTTGTTTGCAAAGTAGTGAAATAAATTTTTTTTTTTTCGAGTTGGAGTTTCACTCTGTCACCCAGACTGGAGTGCAGTGACCACTCCCGGCCACCACAGCCTCGACCCTCTGGGCTCCAGCGATCCTTCCACCTCAGCCTTCCGAGTAGCCGGAATTATAGGCGCACGCTACCATGCCTGGCTCATTTTTTATTTATTGTAGAGATGAGGTCTCGTCTGCCCAGGTGGGTCTCGAACCCACGGGCTCAGGC